TATCACTTGCCTTTTTTTAGATGCCACATATAGTGAGATCCTGCAATATTTGTCTTTCTGTGTCTGGCTTGCACTTAGCATAATGTCCTCCAGGTTTACTCATGTTGCTGCAAACAGCAGGATTTCTTTCCTTTCCTGAATACTATTCACACACACAGCACCTTTTCTTTATCCAGTCCTGTCAAGAGACAAGTTGTTTTCACATCTGGACTATTGTGAATAATGCTACAGTGAATATGGGAGTGCAGATATCTCTTTGAAATAGTGATTATATTTCTTTCAGATATATACCCCAAAGTGGTATTGCTGGGTCACCCTGGGAGTTCTGTTTTTAATTTTTTGAGGAACCTCCATCCTATTTCCACAGTGGCTGCACTGATTTACATTCCCACCAACAGTGCACAAGGGTTGGTTCCCTTGTCTCCACATCCTCGCCAATACTTGTTATCTTTGGACTTTTTGATAATAGACCTTGGCAATAACCTCTTAACAGCTGCTCTTCCTCTGGCATTCTGGGAGAGCCCCGTAATTGGGGCTGCTAGGCAAACCCACTGTGGGTTCCATGTCTTCTAAGGAAACACACCCCATTCCTGCCCCCTGTACTCGACACGCCATAAAACTGACCTTCAGGGTTGTGATGCCATTTCCAGCATGGTTGGCGTCCAGCCCAAAATGGTCTCCATGACTACAGCTAAGGAGAGGTTTGTTGAGCCAACTTTAATACTAATGAGCAGTGTAGTAACGGCCTTGCAATGTTGGCACATCAACCACTTTCTCTTCATCTCTTAGCACAAAATAGACTTACTAATTATAAACTAAATGATCTGTTTTATTATTTAACGAAAGTACTAAGTACAGTGCCTTATGTCTTACTTTTTGCTGATACACATTCTTGGGTGTGTTTTTCAATAGGGAGCCAATACTCAAGTCATGTAAACTCTAGGGACTGTAATTCCATTTTAGGAAAAAAAAACCAAAACAGAAAAGAAAAACAACAAAAAAGAGCAAGACATTTCCATTATTCCTTGACTTCCATAAGGAGGCCTCTATTTTTGTTTCGCTCCCTTTTAGTTTAGAGGCTATACTGGGCACTGTGAGTGGCTCTAATTTGCTAGTAAGAGATTTGCCCATTGGGAGTCAGGAGTTTGGGGTAGAACTGCACAACTGGACAACTAGATACCAGAGCTGGGTTTGGTCTAAACTAAGTAGGGGAGTGGGACAGGCAGCAGTATGTGTCTGGAAGTTTCATAGTCCAAGAAAGAGCTTTCAGACTCAGCCATGAGGGCCCCCTGAGAAGCACAGAGGCTGGCTAGGAAGTGTTAGAGGTGAGCCAAGTGTGAACAAGGCCGGGACAAACCAGAAGTTGATTTGAATTTGGTGACAGGATAATGATGGGGTTTAAAAATTTCCAAGGAGCTAATCAAATGTTTTTTCTTTCTTTCTTTTTTTTTTTAAAGATTTTATTTATTTATTTGACAGAAAGAGAGAGAGTGAGAGCACAAGTGGGCAGGGAGGCAGGCAGAGGGAGAGGGAGAAGCAGGCTCCCCGCCGAGCAGGGAGCCCAATGTGGGGCTCGATTCCAGGACCCTGGGATCATGACCCAAGCCAAAGGCAGACGCCTAACTGACTGAGTCACCCAGGTGCAAATCTTTTTTCTTACATCATATGAGCCAAATGCCAATTAATTCCAAGCAGCTACTTTCCATGGTAATGTTTGGGATGTTTGCTTATTCACTACTTAATTCAAATTCTAAAGTCATTCACTGAGCTAAGTGGGACAATGACTCTAGAGCCTGCAAGGACATTTTAGTGTGCACACATGGAGAGAAAAACAATGCTTAGCACTTGGGGCCACAGGAGGGTGCTCTGAGCAGAGGGAGTGGACTCTTGGAAGGAGGCCTCAGAAACAATTACAGGCCCACAAAGGAAAATGCCACTGTGGCTGGCTTGCATGCTCCATCAGCAAGATACTTAAAGCTGGGTTACTGACAATATGAATTTATGTTTCATAGGAAGGAAAAAAAAAATCTGGTTATATCTGAAGGTTTCACATACCTGAGCACCAGGTTTTAATGGTTTGGAAGTGTAGATAATGTAGAAATGACAATCATTTACATGACTAGGAAGAAAGAAAATCAACACATTGCAAATTCCCACTTACTTAGAACACAAACAAAGCAAAAAGGCCAAATAGCAGATATTTGTGTGATGTCTATACAGTGTGCCTCTTGCTTTAAAGGGCCCCTAATGCTGGGGCATCTGGGTGGCTCAGTTGGTTGAGCATCCGACTCTTGATTTCAGCTCAGGTCATGATCTCAGGATCTTGAGGTTAAGCCCCTGAGTAGGGCTCTGTGCTCAGCAGGGAATCTGCTTGAGATTCTTTCCCTCTGCCCCTCCCTCTGCACTCTCTCTCAAATAAATAAATAAATCTTTAAAAAAAAAAAGAGTCCCTAATGCCAAGGAAATAAGTGATTATCAGGGATTTGACCTAAAGAAACTTTTAGTTATGCCCTATGCATTTATATTTTGGTTTCCTTTAAATTTTACTGTCTTGGTATTGTATTATGATAAATAATTCAAGGACTTCAGTTTTAGGGGTTTTTATGGGTAGAAATTAGGGCTCAGAGAGGGGTTTAAGTGACTAGATCAGGATCCCAGAGCTAACTGGGGGCAGGCCAGGGCTTAGGCACACGGTCCAGGAAGTCTCAAGATGGGGCCAATAGTCACTGAAGAGAGACTAAATTACATAAAATATGATTTTCATTTTAAATATATTTTAATAGAACAGATTTTTTTTGAAAATCGGTAAAAAACATATAAATGAAATAGCTCTCAAACAGATATAGATAATAAATAAACTATAAGCTCCATCCTCTCCCCGAGATCATTCTGGATAATTGGAAGTTTCCAAATATTTCCAGAGAATTCCAGAATTGGAATAAACTGCAAAGGCATTCTTGCTGCCCGTCTAGAGGAGAAGGGGTCTTAACATTTGATGAATGCCTACTATGGGATAGAGACCATGCTGAGAACTTCTATGTTTATCATCTCACCTAATGACAGGTTAAATATTTGCCCATTGATGTAGATGAGGAAAATCCAGCTCAGGATCACACCACAGCTGCCATTCCTTGGCCTTCCCACATTAGTTGATACATAAGTTTCCCTCCCTACACCAGCCCTGAGTACATTATTTGCAACCGATTTGTCCTTTTGCCTCTAGTACTGGGATCTTTCTAGTTATCTAATTCCTAGGGGTGTGAGGAGTGTGGTACTGGAGCCTTTCATGTGGGTACATAAAAAAGAAGAATGTGAAAATGTTGAGTGCTTATGCAATCCTCACTCTTAGCTGGCCTCTCTCTTGTTCTGCAGGGCTAACAGTAGATGTTGTTTAACAAGGGACTGGATCTGGTGACCCCCTCCGACCCCTGTGACTTGTTTGCATATTTGTTTTTTATGTTGAATTTGGATGCCTTTCTGTGGAGCAGGTGCTTGCCCCACCTCATCCTAGTGTCTTATACGCATCCTGCTCTATTCATTTTTATTATTTGCCAGGCCTCTGGAGGCATTTGGGTTTGTGACCCCTGGGATTTAATGCTAGTGGTACCATTAGCACCTCCCATCAGGGTCATGGGGTCTCTGGTGTCTTTCAGAGTCGCTGTGGGCCACTGCCCAACTCTGGGGCTCCAGTCGCACAGACTATAGATTTGAGTTGTACCTCTGGGAACTGTGCAGTGCAGAGCCTGCACGACAGGTGGTGGTGGCCCTAATGTTATACACTGTATAGATGCACAATGACAGATTCTGGACCTAAACACAAGGGTAAGGCCGCTCAGTGTTACCCTTGGTCCCATGTAAATGAAGGGGAGCGAAGATGATGGAAATAGAGGAATTGTATACACAGTTCAAAGGGTGACCAATTTCATGTTTTGTCATTATGAAGCCCATCTTTTTTTTTTTTTGTATTGCATTTTTTTTATTTTATTCTTATGTTAATCCCCATATATTACATCATTAGTTTTAGATGAAGTGTTCCATGATTCATTGTTTGTGCACAACACCCAGTGCTCCATGCAGAATGTGCCCTCCTCAATACCCACCGCCAGGCTAACCCATCCTCCCACTCCCCTCCCCTCTAGAACCCTCAGTTTGTTTTTCAGAGTCTATCGTCTCTCATGGTTCGTCTACCCCTCCGATTTCCCCTGCTTCATTCTTCCCCTCCCGCTACCTTCTTCTTCTTCTTCTTTTTTTTTTTTCTTAACATATATTGCATTATTTGTTTCAGAGGTACAGATCTGAGATTCAACAGTCTTGCACAATTCACAGCGTGAAGCCCATCTTTTAAGTTCCTGCAGCTTAGGCCATCCAACTGAATGGATGTTAACTCTCAACAGAACGGGTCCAGCTACTAGTGTCCCTACAGCACAGATATAACTGTACTCACTGAAGTAATTAAGAAACATGAGTAGGGTATTTTCAACAATGGTGAGAAAAGCAAGTTTGCACTTCTTAGAATCCTACCATATTAACTGTGAAAATTACTGATTGCTTTTACTTTTCCCCCCAAGCAAGGCAGGTGCTGTGAATACTCTCATTCTTTTACTCTCAAGGGAAATCAAGTGCTCCTTCAACCATCTGAAAGAGAAAAATCATAGCCACAGTCCCAGTGACTCAGATCCCACATCTAGGACTATAGCAAACTTTTGCTGTCCTACTCAAAACCTGAAGAGTAAGTGAACCAGAAACTACGAGTGGCTGTGAGCCACAGGTGAGGTGAGGCTCCCCGACAAAGATGCTCTGCTCAGATTCATGCCTCTGAGATTTTAAGTGCATCAGATAGAAACTGGCTCTGCGGCAAACCTAATAGTGTTGATGACTTGGACATCAGCCCCTGAGCAGGAATGGGGCCCAGGGTCCACCTTTTAGCTCCTACTTAGCCAACTGTCTACAGGTTGATAAACCTCCATGAGCAACCACACGAACAAACCAAACTACCGTACCTCCTCAGGCAAGCTGACCACCAAGTCATTTTTCGTCTGTCCAACCAGCGCCTGCCAGAAGTATTCACTGCATGCGGCCAGCACAGCCCGGTGGGCCCGGAACTCCTTCCTTTCCACAATCAGAGTCACGTCACAGAGAATATCCTTTTTCCGCTGGTCATTGAGGCCCAGGAGGATGTTGGTGCAGTGGACTGTGGACTCATACACATACATGGGGGAGTCAGGCTTCTCATCCACAGACATGCCGTTCACACCCTGAAAGAGAGAAAGGTGGGGTCACCAGAGCTACTGAGTCAGATACAGAAGGTGAGAAGAATGTCACAGTTCCTGCGTCCCACGGCCATGAGCCAGGCAAAAAGGAGAATTGTCCTTTAGCATATTCATGCTCAGCACAATGAGCTCAGAAAATGTATCTGGAAATTCATGTTCAATGGCTGACTTTTATCTTCCCTTTTACTGCGTGCTTTTACCCCATGGAAACAAAGCCAGGTCCCTTAATGAAACACCCAAAACATTTAAAACATATAGGTACTCTAAGATTTAGTAGTTTTGATTTTGCTATCCGACTGAAAAAGGAACTTCCACATACACATGGTCCCTATTCAAGTACTGATTGAGCTTTGTGTTAAGGGGAAATGAATCATTTTGAAGTGTTTACTATGCTCTCTTGACAAAGTACACGTAAACTCCTAGGTTGACGTGTGGCTAAGATGCCAAGCAGAGTAAATACCTAATCACAATACATAATCGAACAAGTGAAGTAAACGGTATGTGTACTGAGTCGGTAGAGCGAGCTATCACGATTGCCCTCCGCCACTTCAGGACAAAGCACAACCAACGGAATGCTGTTGTTGCTCACGAAATGCTCTTGAAAAGAAGTGGACTTGTGCTGTCATTATCCCAGCAGACTTGATATACATCCTCTTTAAGGAAACACAATATATCACATTAAGAGTCATAAAAAAAGATGTATTCCACAGTGAAGATTACTTTACAAAAGGGTTCTTTGCTTCAAGAAGTATCCACTGATGTACTCTAAAAAGTAGTGTCTATAACTGATTTACATAACATAGTTTTTCAGGAATGTCTACTACTAGTATGAATTCCAATAAAGTTTTACTTTCCTTTTGGCTTCATTCTTATTTATTTTAATAACTTTAACCCAAGATAAATTGCATATAGTTATAGTGGGTGGTTTGATATGTTTTAGCATATGTATGCATCACAATCAAGACAGGGAACATACCCTACATCAATCACCAAAAAAATCTTTCTATGCCCCTTAATAGTCCTTCCCTTGCACCTCTCTGTACCCCCCTTCTCCCAAAACTACAGTTCTGCTTTATGACACTATATATTAATTTGTATTTTCTATATTTTATGTAAATGGAATCATACAGATTATATTCCTTTATGTCTGGCTTCTTTTACTCAGCATGGTTATTTTGCAATTCTTCTATGTTGTTATGTGCATCAAATGGTTGTTCCTTTATTGCCGAGTAGTGTTCCATTGTATGGATACAGCACGATTTTTTATCCATTCATCTATTGGCAGATCTTTGGGTGTTTCCAGTTTTGGGCTATTACAAATAAAGCTGCTATGAATTAGTGTATAAATCTATGCATGAACATATGCTTTCATTTCTCTTGTGTAAATTCCTAGGGGTAGAATGGATGGATCATTTGGTATGTGTAAGTCTAACTTTTTGAGAGACTATCCCTGTTTTCTACAGTGGTTGTAGAATTTCACATTCCAACAGCAGTGTATGAGAGTTCTAGTTCTTTCACATTCTTGCCACAACTTGTTATACTCAGTCTTTCTAGTTTTGGCCATTCTAATAAGTATACCATGGTATATCTTTGTGGTTTTAATTTGCTTTTTTCTAATGACTGAAGATGCTGAACATTTTTCATGTGCTTATTTGCCATCTATTTACTTCTTTGGAGAGATGTGTACTCAGATTCTTTGTCCATTTTCTACTGGTCTGTTTCCTTATTACTGAGATTTGAGCATTCTTTATATACTCTGAATAAAAGTCCTTTATCAGATATGTGATTTGTAAGTATTTTCTCCAAGTCTGTAGCTTGTCATTCTCTCTCTCTCTTTTTTTAAGATTTTTAAATTTACTTTTTGGCAGAGAAGGAGACAGCGAGAGAGGGAACACAAGCAGGGGGAGTTGGAGAGGGAGAAGCAGGCTTCTTGCGGAGCAGGGAGCCTGATATGGGACTTGATCCCAGGACCCTGGGATCATGACCTGAGCCAAAGGCAGACGCTTAACGACTGAGCCACTCAGGCACCCCTGTCTTTTCATTCTCTCTCTCTCTCTCTTTTTTTTTTTTAAAGATTTTATTTATTTATTTGAGAGAGAGAATGAGAGAGAGAGCACAAGAGAGGGGAACAGGAGAGGGAGAAGCAGACTCCCCGCCGAGCAGGGAGCCCGATGCGGGACTCGATCCCGGGACTCCAGGATCATGACCTGAGCCGAAGGCAGTCGCTTAACCAACTGAGCCACCCAGGCGCCCGTCTTTTCATTCTCTTAACAGTGTTTTCGAAGAGCAGAAAGTCTTCATCTGATGAAGACCAATCAAGCAATTTTTTCTTTTATGGATCATGCTTTTGGTGGTATGTCTAAAAAATCTTTGCCTAAACCAAGGTCATATCTTTTTTTCAGATTTATACATAGATATTACTATTTTAATGTAATTATAAATGATTTCGCTTTTTAATTTAAATTTCTGATTTTTCATTGCTAGTATACAGTAATATAAATTGTTTTTGTGTATTGATCTTATATCCTGCAGTTTTGCCTAACTTGCTTATTAGTTCTCACAGCCTTATTTATTTTGGTACATAACATAGATTTTGTAAAACATACATGTTGTTTGTGAATGAAGACATTTTACTTCCTTTCCAATCTGAATGATTTCAGTGTCTTTTTCTTGCTTATTGCATTGGCTAGAACCTCTAGTGCAATGTTGAATAGAAGTGGTGAGAGCAAACATCCTTGCCTTGTTCCTGATGTTAGGGGAACACTTCATCCTTTCACTGTTATTTATGACAGTAGCTATAGGTGCTTCATAGATGCCCCTATTGAGTTGAGGGAATTTCTTTCTATTCCTAATTTGCTGGGAATTTCTTTTTTTAAAAAAAGCAGGAATGGATGCTGGATTTTGTTAAATGTGTTTTCTGCATGTATTGATAATCACATAATTTTTCTTTTTTAGTATGTTAATATGAATAATATGATTGATTTTTGAATGTTAAATCCATCTTGCATCTCTAAAATAAATTCCACTTGACCATAATGTATTTGTCTTGTTATACATTGTTGGATTCATTTTTTTACATTTTGCTAAGAATTTTTGCATCTATGCTCATGTAGGATATTAGTCTGTAGTTTTCTTTTCATATATGTATTCTTAATCAGGGTAATGCTGGTTTCACAAAATGAGTTGGAAAATATTTCTTCCTCTTCAATTTTCTAGAAGAGTCTTTGTAGGATTGGTATAATTTCTTCCTTAAATATTTGGTAGAATTTGCCTGTGAAGTCTCCGTGGCCTTGAGTTTTAACTACAAATTCAATTTTTAAAAAAAATTGTCAAATTCATTGGCATAAAGTTGTACATAGTATTTCCTTATTTTCCTTTTAATATTAGTAGAATCTTTGTTGAAGCTCATATTCCTGATATTGGGAATTTGTGTCCTCTTTCTTTTCTGACCAGGTTGGCTAGAGGTTTATAAGTTTTATCAATGTTCCCAAGGAACTAGCTTTTGTTAAATTGATTCTTATTGTTCCATTTTCTATTACGTTGATTTCTGCTATCATCATTGTACCCTTTCTTCTGCTTACTTTAGGCTTTAATTGGCTCTTTTTAACTTCTATTACCTTTTATTAGTTTTTAGATTTTATTTTAATTCCAGTATAGTTAACATACAGTGTTATATTAGTTTCAGGTGTAAAATACAGTTATTCAACAATTCTATATATTGTACACTCAGTGCTCATGATAAGTATACTCTTAAACCCCTTCACCTATTTCACCCATCCCCCCCACCCCAATCTCCCTACCTCCCCTCTGATAACCATCAACTTGTTCTCTATAGTTAGGTATCCTTTTTCTTTGTTCATCTATTTTGTTTCTTAAATTCCACATTTGGGTGAAATCATATGGCATTTCTTTCTCTGATTTATGTCACTTAGCATTAGATGCTCTAGATCCATCCATGTTATTGCAAATGGCAAGATTTCATTCTTTTTTATGGCTGAGTAATATTTCATTTATCACATCTTTATCCATTCATCTATTGATAGACACTTGGGCTGCATCCATAATTGGGCTATTGTAAATAGCACTGCAATAAACATAGGGGTGCATATACCCTTTTGAATTAGTGTTTTCATATACTTTGGGTAAATACCCAGTAGTGGAATTACTGGATCATATGGTAGTTCTATTTTTAAATTTCTGAGGAACCTCCATAATGTTTTCCCCAGCAGCTGCACCAGTTTGCTTTCCCACCAACAGTGCAAGAGGATTCCTTTTTCTCCACATCCTTGCCAACATTTGCTGTATCTTGTGGTTTTGATTTTAGCCATTCTGATAGGTGTGAGGTGATATCTCATTGTAGTTTTGATTGGCATTTCCCCAATGATCAGTGATGTTGAGCATCTATTCATGTCTGTTGTCCATCTGGATATCTTTGGAGAAATGTCTGTTCATGTCTTTGGCCCATTTTTAAATTAGATTATTTGTTTTTTGGGTGTTGAATTTTATAAGTTCTTTACAGATTTTGGATACTAATCCTTTATCAGATAAGTCATTTGCAAATATCTTCTCCCATTCGGTAGATTGTCGTTTAGTTTTGTTGACTGTTTCCTTTGCTGTGCAGAAGCTTTTCATTTTGATGTAGTTTCAATAGTTTATTTTTGCTTTTGTTTCCCTTGCTTCAGGAGACATATCTAGAAAAATGTTGCTAAGGCTCTTGTCAGAAAAATTACTGCCTGTGCTTTCTTCTAGGATTTTTACAGTGTTGGGTCTCACATTTAGATCTTTAATCCATTTCTTTTTAACATATATTGCATTATTTGTTTCAGAGGTACAGATCTGAGATTCAATAGTCTTGCACAATTCACAGCGCTTACCAGAGCACATACCCTCCCCAGTGTCTATCACCCAGTCACCCCATCCCTCCCACCCCATCCCCCAGGTCTTTAATCCATTTTGAGTTTATTTTTGTGTATGGTGTAAGAAAG